AGGGGCGCACTCATCAACAGGAAAGTCAAGCACTAGTATCTATGAAGACTGTTTTGTAAAGATCATTTTTAAGGACTCATCAGCTTTCAAGTGTTTTTACAAATGGTCCATCTGCAGTTTCACACAAACATGACTTCCTGTATGCACCAGGAAAATGAACTGCATATGTGTTTGGAAGGACAAAGGAGCAGGTGCGTCTCCCTCCTGCAAAGTCCTGTGTCCAAGAGCTGGGGAGAGTAAACGCTGCTAGAGCATCACACTTTTTCTTAAATTGAAGACAGAACTAGCATTTCAGACTTTTAACATTAAATCCCAAGAATGAATTGTCAGTCCTCTTTCCAGAGGCAAAGAAGCTTTCCGGACCTGACTTTTTGTCCCTGTTATGATTATCTTAAGCAGGAGATAACAGGGTAAACTTGAGGGCATGGTTCTGGGGCTCAGACTTCAGAGACAACCTTGATTTTAAACATAGTCCTCATCCCTTGTAAGCTTACCCATATGATTTTTGGCCTGGAAACTGATGAATAAAAAATGAAAAATAAGGTCGAAATGAGAGTGATTTTTTTTCCATAAAATATATATTTAGTGGTTTTTTAAATAATATAATTGTTCACTTTTACATCATTCTGTGCATTTTTTCATCTCAGTTGTAATCTCCGTGGGCTTCCCATCACCAAATCACCCCTGTGCCATCACCATAGTCCAGTGCATTTCCCTCCCCCTAAGAGTGATCTTTTATGAATGTTGTTTCAAATATGGGCATTGCACATATCTTAGGTAAGAGATAAGAACCATTACTATCTCTAAGAGCAAAAAGAATGCTTGGAAGTGTGTGCTTGAACGTAAGCAAAGATTTTGCAAACAGAAAATAAAGCTCAATGTCAGTTAACAAACAAATGTGCTATTTCAAAAGATATAAAACAAGAAATCTAGAAATGGCCAGAGTCCAGGAAATGGACACAGATCCTTTTTGGAAGGTCTTTCCAAGCTGTGTGATTTATTTCAGCTTGACTATAAACCAAACAAATTAGCAATAACATGTGTTTTATGAAATGCTATGAAGAAAAGATGCTATCATTCCAAGTGTTACTCTGAAGATGTGGAACCAGAGAAATTACTGCCATGGGTTTGGTGCAGTAATTTTCTTTCAGAACCACAAACGCCCTCACGGAAAGCATTAAAGGCTGTCATTTGTGAAAAGCTAGCCTTTCGTATAATCTTAAGGTCACGTTCCAAAATATCCCTGTTTCTAGAAGCAATACAATATTGATTTTAAGGTTAAAACCCCTAAAAACTTTTACCTAACCGGATTCATGCACATTTTAAAAAGCCATTAGTACTTAAGTTTCAAATTTTCAAAAAGTTTTTTACAAGTATAAAAATAATGCTGCAGGGACAGAAGAAAACAGCAATAAAATCATTTTTTAAAATAACTTACAGAATAAGAAAAGTCTGTCGTCATTAACTAATGAATCTGACAATTACAATTAGTTTTGGCCCACTAGCAATGAAAAAGAAAAAAAAATACATTTCAAAATGAGTTACCAAGAAGGAGGATAATTCCAAATGACCACAGAGCAAAGTCAGGAAAAATATTACAGCAATACTTACCAATCATCCACTAAATTCTAACTCCCATTCCTTGAGCTTGAAACCTAACTTCAGGACTCCACATATATATGATCCCAGGAAACTGGTCATCACTTAGGTACTGAAGAACTCAGTGGTTGATGCCCTGCTTAGTGTTCAAAGAATATCTGAGGTCCCTGTTTGCCAGTATATTCTACCCTCAGAAAGAATGCTGTCCCTGGTTTTTACAAGTCAGAAGCAAGTTTGCATGCAAAAGGGAAAGATTAATTCCTGAGCCTTACAAAGAATGGGCAAGAGCTTCTTTTAAGCAAACCAATTTTGTCAATATATTAAGGCTTTCGTTGACAAAACCCTAGGAAGCCTTAAGGCCTCTTGGCCCCCTGCTATCACAGAATTGAAAGAGGACTGCTAATTTGCCAAACTCCAAGACCAGGAACCATAAACCCATTAGGGAGAAGGGGGCTGATAAACACTTGCTAAATGAGTCAACTAGCAGAAAGCATGGAAGACTAAATTAAATTCTAAATAAGATGCTACTCTGACATGTAAAGTTTTAGTAGGAAGGGACTGAATTTGAAAGTTATTTTAAAATAGAATCTACTGGGCTTGCTAAACGAAAACAGTAAAGTCAAAACTTAACTACTGATAAACAAAAAACAAGACAGGAAACTGGCTACTAAACTGCAGGCAAAGATTAAAATCTCTTTTGAGTCAGTTTCCAAACATGTTAATTCTTAAATATTGTCTATATTATACTTAAACATTATCTATATTATATATTGGCTACTGTATATTTGTCTAGAGTTGTCACACCTATGCTCGACACAAATATGAAATACAAGTCTCTGAAGATTTCACTGTTACTCAGGATAGCAACCCCTTATTGTCTTGCATTTGGAAGATGTTCAGGGAAAATGATAATGATGAGACTCTGATTGCATCAACCTCCCAGAGATCAAATTCACTATATCCAGTTTTCCACGAAAGACAACATCATTCCAAAAGAACACAACAGCTTCCTCTGGAAGCTTCCCAGTTCTCCTACATAACTTGAACAATTATTCAAAGCACACAAAATTCGTTTAAATACACCTCTTATGGAAGACAAATGAGAACAGCAGCATGTGGGTACACTTAACACTGGCCAGCCACCAGAGTTCTTGACCTGTAGCCAACATATAGGCCTGCCCTCAAAGTTATTCTCACTGAGATCAGCTGCAATTAAATGCAATTCTCCCCCATACTCAGAAAGTGACTTGGTGATTCTGCTAGATAAAGCAACATTTTCCACTTCTGAAGGGTATGCGTGATACCCGAACAACTGGTTCTTGTGCTTCACAGACAACAAGAGTGTTTTGCTCCCCCTATTGGCTAATAGTCAAAATAACAATGAACTCAACAGCGGTTACCTTTGAAGTGTCCGGGTCAAAAGTAGTCGATTTTTACATCTTAAAAACATGAGCTGGATCAAAAGTTGTTAAGCAAAGCTGCCACATGATGGTCAGATTCCATCAAAACAGGAAAAATTGAAGTTGACAAATGACAAAGACAAGTTGAAGGGCTGAAAATATGCTGAAGCCTTGAAATACTAAACAATGCGGCATCAAAGCCAAAAGCAGAAAACACCAAGAAACAGAGCAACATCCTTTAACTAACACAATGGCATGAAATCAATTTCATTTTAATAGCCCTTCAGGGGGTAAGAATTATTTCCCTACCTCCTGTGCCAACCTCAAGCTGTTTCCTAAGGAAGCCAAGTAACGCTGACCAACATTGTCTGGAGAATTAGTAAGAGAAATTAAGAGTAAAGATCCATATTAATTAATACCAAAACACAGTCCCATTAATAAAAGAAAGCCAATTTCAAAGGAGCTGTAATTTGGCAACCAACTAAGCCTATCATTTAAATTAATTACAGGTGAGTATTCTTGTCTCAAGAGATAGTGTCCCATTGAAGAGGGAAGCTGAATGGGTTGGGAGACTTCTTTCTGGGCTGCCTGCACACAAATCTGAATGCATTTGGAGTTAAGTTCTCTGCCCTGCGATTAACACTGGATTCTGACAGAACAAAACAGAAAGTTGTGTAGAAACTTGGGCAAGTAACTAACCTCCAGAGTCTCATCTGTAAAATGGGCTATTTTTACCACTGCCGGTTAAGTGCGATAATGTCCCTAAGGTTTTCCGCAGCGTATCTGGCACACGGTGGCAGCTCTATCAACCTTGGCTTTTCTCTTTTCTCCAAAGAAATAGCTAATTTCACACGGAAGTCACTGCAGTCTAAAGTACCATTTCGAGAAAATCAAAAGGTCTTGGCATGTGCTTTGCTACTGTGGAGACTTCTCCCAAACTTCCCTTCTTGGAAAGGAGATGGAGCTCAGCATGCGCGCGCTCCGCCATCCCTATTACTCTTAACCACCCTCTGCCTCCTTCACCCGCTGGTACCTCCCGAGAGCTCGAGACTAAACGCGCTGACACCCGGGCGGTGCTCGCTGCGCGACAGGCGCGGGGCTAGCACTTCACACATACTAAATCTTTCCATCTCACAGAAACAGTATGAGGCCAGTACTATTATTATTCCCATTTCACACCTGAGGAAATGAAGTGATTTTTCTATTCTCAGGCTTATGGGATTTTTTGCATATACTGTATCCATTAAGTTCTTTTCTATCGAGGTTGACGAGCCGGCTCCCTCACGAAGTGATTCTAGAATGGGGCAAATGTCCTAAATAGAACAAGACTGCAAGCAGAATCTCCTAGCGACAGTCCAAATTTTTGTTTGTTTTCACCAAATGAACACGTTAAGAGAAGCCTCCAAAATTAACTGGGTTGGGCAAATAATAAGTTAAGCAGGGGCGCGCTTCAGGCGGGAGCTCCAGGAAGCGGCGCTTGGCCCCGCCCGCAGGGCACCCGAGGGCGCGGTTGCAGCGAGCGCAGCTCACGCTGGAGCGCCAGTCCCCGGGCCGCAGCCTCCTCAGCAGCCCTGAAGTGCAAACCCACAACAAACCTCCCCGACCGCCGCTGTCACGCGCCGCGGAGGAAGCGACCAGCTTGCCCCGCACGGGTCAGGGGAAGCCGCGGGGAGTCAGCGTGCGGGCGGGCGCGGAGACGTCGCCCCCGCCACAGCGCATCACCCGAGCGCTGCCACCCGCGCGGCCACTCCCCGCGCACCGCCCGCCGCGGGTCCCCGCTCCTCCCGACGTAAACACCGCCGGACTCACGCTGCCCTCGCGAGTCGGGGAGTCCGGGCAGCCCGGGTGACCCCCTCCTTCGAGCGGGCACGGACCCCGTGCGGCAACGACGGGCACCCCGCAGCCTGCAGAGCCAGCGGCCCGGACAGGCGCGGGGCTAGAGGCGAGGCGAGGAGCGTCCCGGTGCGGGCGGTAGAGCTGCGGCACCCGGCCCGCACCTACCGTGGAGGCGGCGTGTCAAGCGGAGATCCACCCGCCTCAAGTTGGAGAAAAGCTGAGAGAAGTTTCCCCGCCCAGCGCTCGGCCGCAGCGAACTCCGGCAGCTGCAGCGCCTCGGCGCAACTACGCCATCCAGACCCGCCGAGGACTTTCACCTCCTGCAGGGAGCTCCCGGGATCGCGCAGGGAAAGTGGCCGGGGGCTGGAGCCGCTGACTTCCCTCCCTCACTCACAGGGAAGAGGAAAGCGCCGCTCGGCGTCCCCGAAACCCTCGATTACCCCCATCGGGCTGACCCAGCACGCTCGCTCCCTCTCGCACACACGCGGGCGGGGACGGGCAGGGCGCCACAGCAATCAGCGCGCGGGGGGATGGGCGCTCCTCCTTCGCCGTCCCCACCGAGGGCTCCGGCCCGGAGAAACTCCTCCCCCCGCCGCCCTTCTTTCTCTCCTCCCCCTTTTCCTCCCGGGCTGGTGGATGAGCCCCGAGCGCAGCGAGAGCTTGCTGTATCCCTTAGGCCCAGTAGGGAGGGAGAGGAGTACCCGCGGCGCGCCCAGATTGGGGTGGCGTTGGGGAGGGGGGGCGCATCCTCTGGGAAAAGCGGGGAGGAGGTTTGGATGCGGGCGCTAGCTGCAAAGACTCTCACCCTCAAAGCAGAACCTTCGAAGAGTCAAGGGCTCACGGGAGACGTTGGTTTTTCATTTGGTTCCTAGGTCTTGATAGGAAAATTCTAAAAGCTCGAGTAATCTGATCACTCACCCTAGCCCAGTCCCCAACCCATTCCCACCACATACGCACATACACACACACTCTCTCTGCCCCTGTTTGTTTTTTCCCATCTCCAATCTTCTTATCTCAAGATATGCTGTGTCGGTGGGTCCCTGCTGATACTACCTTACTCAGTCATTCCCCACCCCACCCCCCTTGCAAAATAATTAGCACAAATAAAGGAGCTAGGTTAGCCACAGTGGCGTTACCTAGAGGCTGTGGAGACTGGGCAATTTCCGGCTTCCATGTGTGGTGACCCGTACACAGCAAAAGTTGGCGAATAGTCATCACTAAGCTACTTTGATACTCCTGTCTGCATCACGTTTTTCTTTTAAAAGATGTATGTAAGTCCTAAGACACTTGTACCAAAAGGCTGGAAAAATTATCTTGGGCGGACAGGTTTGAGAGACCAGACTTAACAGGCCTGACTCTAGGCTTGAACTAACTGTGGCCTTTTGTCTTTATTTTACCCCTCGGAAAATAAGGAATTTGGCCTAGCAGACCTCTTCCATTCTTAAGTACTATGGGAATAGATCCATAATATAGATGCATGGACTAAGAAGGTTTCTCTTACTATTTTTTCTCTTGCAAAGTATACTTCTTTGGAAAGTTCATGGACTTCCCCGCTTGAAAGAAAAAGGAAGTATTTCTCATGCTTTTTTCTCTTGTTCTGATACTTAAAGAATCCATCCAATGAAGAATCTTTCACAAAAGTCAGAACTTCATGGATCATCTGGATGACTGCAAAAATTTCGCCAGTGAATTATTCATTCCTTATCAATATTTATTGTGCACCCATTGTATAAGAGAACTGAACTAGGCTTTGGAGATTCATGGAGATATAATACCCTGAAGGGACAGAGGAGGTAAAGTCAGCTTCTATTTTTCCATAGTCTCTCTAGATTTAAGGCCTTCCAGAGCTCATAGACTCAAATTACACAGTATTCAGGCCTCACATTGTCAAATTTAGTTTCAAGTGCAGACATAACACTTGATTTGAGTGTGACTATTTCATCCTCCATTTACATTTATCAGTCACTTTATGGATTTCTATATAAAATGGCATGGTAGAAGAAAAGCCAAGTCCTAGATAAATCCAGAGTGTCTTGTCTTGAAAGAGTAACCAAGTGACAGTTCAAAATCAAGCCAGATTCTTCATCATAACCATCAACATCTGTTGAGCAATTCCTTTCTTCCAGGCATAGTCCTAAACATTCCTTCATGGGAACATATTTACTTCTCTTAGTTCTATAAGGCTATATGCAAACTGTACCCTTTGTACAAACCTGCCTATATTCTTAGGTCTTATATCTTGCCAAGATGCTCCTCCTGGTAACTGGGAGTGCCAGGATTCAAACCCACATCCATGTAGCTCTGAGTCCATCTTCCAGCATCTGACCATACTCCCTGTCACCAAAAGCTTTACCTATTGGCAAAATTAGAAGTTTGGGGAGTTTTGTTTGGGGAGAGGAGAGTTGGGTCTGATTTTTGGTTTTATGGAGATTTATTTATTTATGCATACAAAACTGGGGTATAGGCCAGAGGTACAGGTTGGGGAAATGAAGAGGCTCACTTTATCTCACTTGCCAAAAGTGGGGAGCAGAGCAAGCAGATGGAGGAAGTATACTACTGAGGAGAGCAGCGGGCAGGTAAGGAGAGGTCTGCCTCACCATGTGGATCACCTCCATGCTAGGGATCAAATTCACACTAAAGCCACTATGGCTAGCTTGCAGTGCTGTGCTTTAAACAGCTACACCATCAGGGAGGGTCTGTTTTGTTTTTTTACAAAACATTTTTTAAATTCTGGACCATTTGTTTCAGTAGATGGTATGATAAAACACAAGAAATCATGTCACTATTTCCAAAACCACCACCTACAGAGGTGTTTTCACTTTCATTCTTTACATTAATTATGTGATATCATTAGCAGAAAGCCAGACACCTGGGGAACAGAGCAAAGGTTTCAAATAAACTGAAATTTCTGTTTCCCCAGCAAAGCTCTAGAAAAAGAGTTCTCCTACCTTCTTTAATGGCAATATTAACTAATTGGTTTCTTACAACTTAGAACAACTTACAGTAGTACTGTAAGAGAAACTTCCTTTGAAATCTTTTGGTCAATCATTTGTTCTGAATTTAAAAACAAAACTGTAAACAGGGTGGTGAAATGAAGAGGCTCACTTTATCTCACTTGCCAAAAAAAGGCTTGACAGCCAGGAATGTCAGTGATTTACTGAGGCTGTGCTTCTCACAAGGAGCCCCTCCCATAGGTGTGGGGGCACTCATCTGTGCTGACTCAGATTGAGTGGCATGTCTCCAGAGCCTGTCATTGAGCAGACAACTGAACACATTCATAACTTGTTTATGCTCCCTACAGAAGCAAACATCTCATATTTCTGCAAGAACTCACTAGAAACTTGTTTTACTTTTTTAACTCTCTTGTTTAGTCCTCCTATAGTACTTAGCACATACTTTGCACTTTACAGATTCTAACTCATTCAACCCTTATCACAGCACTGTTGATCTCATTTTGGCCCTCCCTGGTAGCAGCCAGTTAAAGCACAGCACTAAGAAGCTAAAGCAACTTCAGCATCAGTTTGATCCCGCCCTGGAGGTGACCGCATGGCGTGGCAGACCTCTCCTGGCCCGCCCTCTGCTCCCCTCAGCAGTGTGCTTCATCTTCAGCCTGTTCTGCTCCCCACTCTGTGTCTGGTGAACCCTCTCATCACCTCTGCACCTCTGGTTTACACCCTAGTTCTATATGCATAAATAAATAAATCTTAAAAAAAATATCGATTTGGCGAGATTACCATGTCATACAGCCAGCAAGTGGCAGAGCCGGGCCCCAGGGCTCCAGAACCTATGCTCTGAGCGGACACTTGGTATTGCTACAGGTGAAGGGGAGTCCATTTCACTCGTTGACAGACTGCTTTTTACTTTTTAAAAAAGGTTAAAGATTTATTTTATTTATTTATGTATACAAGAACTGGGTACAGGCCAGAGGTAGGGGAGAGGGGAGGAGTAAGAGGATTCACCAGAGTCAGAGTGGGGAGCAGAACAGGCAGATTGACTGAAATATACTGCTGAGGGGAGCAGCAGGCGAGACAGGAGAGGTCTGCGGCACCATGCGGGTCAGTGTGGGTCAGCTCCCTGGCCAGGAAGAGCTGCCAAGAGCTCCATAGTGCTGAGACTTGAAGCCTTGTGGAGAGCTCCATAGTGCTGAGACTTGAAGCCTTGTGGAGAGCTCCATAGTGCTGAGACTTGACCTGTTGTGCCACCTGAGAAGCCCCGATTCTTTAAAAGGAACATCAGATAAAAACAAAAGTTTGTTTGGGAGAAATATTACCCCGCCACATACAAATAGATCCCATTCATCCACTCAAGAAGGGAGAAGGGACAACAGCTTAAAAAAAAGTTCGTCTTAAATAGCTAACATCTTGGAGGCAATTGCATAACTACACTTAAGAATGTGTGACAGAACATGAACCAAATGTTGTTCAGAATTTGTTGTGACAGGATACTGGTCTACAAAGTACAGTTAGGGGCTCCTATTTTCTGCTCTGTTGACCTATAATTACAGACAGATTTACAACTTTATTTCTAAAATTCTCCCATAAACATTCCAATTCATACCTGGAGGTGTTTTTTATATCACCATAATCTAAGGCCCTAATCTAAAGCCACATTTTTTACATCTATCTCCAAGATTACAATCTGGTTTTCACTGACAAAATTTGCAGCTGACCTATTTCAAATTAATGAGAAAAAAACACTTATCAAATGAACCTGTATGCAGAGCAGAGCCCAAAACCTATCTGATGCAGGCCTGGGGTATTCCTCCGAGAATTTGGAAATAAAAATCCAAAGCAAATTCCCTAAAGGCACGAAGAGTTCCTGCAAACTTGTCATTTCCTGTGCTGGTGCAAGAGGTTCCAAAGAAGGTTACCACTATACACCTTCAATTTCCCTCTCAGTGTGGCTTCTGACAAAACAGGAAACCTCACACCATTTATAAGCAACAGCAAAAACCCCTGAAATCCCTGTGGTTTTTAGCTCCGCCGGGGATGTGGCTGGGCCTTTGCTCTTCCATCTCAGGAAGAGGGTTCCAGAGGGAAAGCCTCCCCCAGACCCCCACCTCCATAACTGTCCTTCAGGGGATATTTCTTCCCCTTTTCTTGTTCTGATTTTATTGATTAGATTTTGGCCTGAAAGAAGAAAAAATATGGCAAACTTTGTAATTTTGTGTTCAGGCACAACAAAAATCAAACAAAGCTCACCAAGACATAGATTAATATCTGTGAGTGTTCTCAAGCTCATTGCCTTTGTTTTAACAAACACAGGAACTGCTGAAACTCTATTTTAAAAACACTCAAATTTACTATGGTGATGGCACATGGGTGATTTGGTGATGGGAAGCCCACGGGGATTACAACTGAGATGGAAAAAGGCACACAATGATGTAAAAATAAACTATTATATTATTTAAAAAAACACTCAAATTT